ATTTGCACTATGTTAAGAGAGGGCATTTTTTCAAAGGTGTATACATATATAATGGAGCAAATGTATGCACACTGGGAAAATTTATAGTGAAAATCTTTTGGTTATATTGTCCAGTGTGCACTACCCCTTCCCATGGTCATAGTACCTTCTTTTTCTTTCAGTGACCCCACCCACCTTGACTCTTAGTCTGTGTGGTTCAGACAATGTGGCTGACCACAGTTCCTGTTCCCTGTTCCAACAGTTAGCACCTGGTCCAGACATGGCCTGTCATCCTTTGCTATCTCCCTAACCACAGGACCAATGATGAAATATGACCCGAGTTATTTAATGAGATATAATCCTAGGACTAATGCTAAAATGGGTAAGAGAAGCTCTTTTTGTGTTGGGCTTGCTAAACTGAAAGAGTGTAAGCCTAGAGCAGTGATGGCGAACCTTTTGAGCTAGGCGTGTCAGCATTTTGAAAAACCCTAACTTAACTCTGGTGCCGTGTCACATACAGAAATTTTTTGATATTTGCAACCATAGTAAAACAAAGATTTATATTTTTGATATTTATTTCATATATTTAAATGCCATTTAACAAAGAAAAATCAACCAAAAAAATGAGTTCGCGTGTCACCTCTGACACACGTGTCATAGGTTCGCCATCACTGGCCTAGAGCCATCTGAGAGAGGTCTAAATGGAGAAAGCCTACCTGAATGTATATCTAACACAAGAGAAAGCCACTGGGCATGTCCTGAGGCTACTAAGCCCACGGAACCCATCTGCACCTGAAGAGTACATTCCTGTGAACCCAAGTGCCCTGAACTAGTATGAGTAAGGTTTTGATCTTATATAACTGATAAAATTTAAGAATCTAATATGATTACCTGTTATCAGATGAAATTATCGGTTTTCAAATGGAAAAATTGAAGTCATAAGAATTAAATTATTTGTCTAAATTCATACAACTAATTACTGGTGTCACAGATTCAACCCTAACTAGGCCTGGTTGTAATATCGATGCTCTTTCTACTACATCATATTCCCAGAAAAACACTCTGAAACTCCTCTATGCTTTATAATTATCTGCAACCATAAGGTAAGTCCTTACATGGAATGAATACTCTATTAACATTTGTTGAGTGGCCAAAAAAGGAAAGAAGATTCATATGTCTTCTCTCTGTCCCATTCCTGCAATAACTAGCCTCTTGTGTAACACAGAGCATTTCTGTATTATTTTTATAATGAAGGCTACCTCAAGGACATGTCTATTTCTTTACCATCTTATCTTCTTTCACAGAATGCCATTTCCAGTCCCAGGGTAAATCAAGATCCAAAATACAAATAGGAATCAGAACCTTAGAAAGATGCCATCAGCGAGGTCTAGCTACTATTCTGTTATAATTAAACTAGAGGCCTGGTGCACGAAATTCATGCACTGGGGGGTGGGGGTCCCTCAGCCCAGCCTGACCCTCTCACAGTCCGGGAACCCTCAGTGGATGTCCTACTGACGGCCACAGTCTGGCAGCAGAGGCTTGGAGCAGGAGCCCTCTGTGTTGATCTCTCAGGCTCCTGGCCTCGCTTGCGTGTTGTTCTCTCCCTTGAGCTATGGCCAGGGTGGGGTGCTGCCTACAGGCCCCGCTAGCCTGCTTGTGGATCATCATGACGACCCGCGAGCAGGCCCTGCAGGGTGCTGCCTGCTGGGGGCTGCCTGCAGGCAGCACTTTCCTGCTCAGGGATCGCAGCGGCGACCCAGGAGCAGGCCCTGCTGGGGGCTGCCTGTCACCTTGCTTGCCTGCTCCAGGGACGCGCGACCTGCTCGTGGGTCACCCAGGCAATGCCTGCTGGGCTCACATTGCCAGGGTGACACCGCCAGCGTCCTGCCCCGCTGCTATGGGTGCCACCCTCTTTGTCGTGGAGTTATGGTTAATTTCCATATTACTCTTTTATTAGATAGGGTGTAAAACTTGAAAAAGGACACCACATCATCTGTAAGAGACATATTGTTGTTTATGTTAATATTTTAGGATATTTGTATACTACATTAACTTCTAGAAAGTATCAGCTATTTATAAACAGTCACATCTCTTTCAAATATTATTGCTGAGGGTGAGAGAGAAGGGGAGCAAAACAGGATTTATGAATATAACAAGCCGAACATTTTCAAGAAGTCCATCTAAAAACAATGCGCATTTTTGTCAGAACACTCAATAACAATGTTTCACAAGTCAACTTTTGTTTCCCTAGAAGGTATGGTAGACTGATTCACATCCAGATCAAAGACACTGGATTCATAGTTCTTTTTTTTAAAACTTACTCAAAAATGTCTATTTTCTGGCTAAGATCCATCAGTTTCTTAGGCCTCTTTACTTTTTCTTCACTTCTAACAGCTGGCTTTCCTTTCAGAAAAATATTTTACAAAGAACCAATATATTATCATTAACCAGAGCTATAACATACAACAACCTCAGACAGAGAACAAGCCAAGATGTGGACACTGGGCAGTGAGCTAGGATCATGCACATCTTAGGGTCTCGCTTCCAATAATAGGAATTCATTTCAGCAAAACTGCAAATACAACATGGACCTTTAGATTCACTTCCAAATAATTAAAACTGACTTTAAATCCAGGACTGCTAATTGTTCACTTTATTTAAACACCATTGTATTCATTTCAGGTTTAGCATAAGAAAGACCTAAATGCAAATCCTAGGTCTCCTTGGATGAATGATGTGACCTGAAATTGGTTCCAGATCATAAAAAGAAAACATTGACACGCTATCCAATTTACAGGGTTAAAAACAAAAAAATGTACAAAAAGTGTCTAGAACTTTTAGTAAACACCAAACAAATATTAGTGCCCTTCTCCCATAACGATATCTGAATCCACATAATTTACTAAAAAACTTTTACAACCTGACCGTGTCGCTTAGTGGTTGAGAGTCGACCTATGAACCAGGAGGTCACCTTTGGATTCCTGGTCAGGACACATGCCCAGGTTGCAGGCTCGATCCCCAGGGGAAGGGAGTGGGTGCAGGAGGCAGCCAATCAATGATTCTTTCTCATCATTGATGTTTCTCTCTCTCTCTCCCTCTCCCTTCCTCTCTGAAATCAATAAAAATATATATTAAAAAACTTTTACAGACAGAAACTGTTTCTACTCTGGAGGTTAAAATGTTGAGGAGGGGTGTAAAAAGGAATACACATACACAAATAATAACACAAATCTAATATAATACATTGCGTTGCTTAGATCCCTTTAATTATTCTACTACTGTAAATGTACTCAATACATGGAAAGTAAAGAGGCCTGCTAAAGTGATGATACTGAACCAGATATATGTTTAGAGTAAATTCAGAATGGATGTTAAATGTGACAGTGATTGGATCTGTGTCATTAGAAAGTCCACCATACAACACAGACTCCATAGTTAAGCAAAAAAAGTAATGCTTGAAAATGTTTCCTTTGATTTCAAGCAAAGCAGACTTTGCAAAACCTTAGTGAAAACTGAAATGATGATTAACCTGCATAAGAGTGTATAGAAAGCATGTGATTATGAAGGAAATATAATTAAAGAGAAAGGACACTGTATAAAGCTTTTCATGTAGCTGTTAGTTAGGGTGGCTACCAACCCAATTGTCACCAAAACTGAATATTGGCAGAAGACTCAAATTTTTCTTTGTATAATGTGAAATTACAAAAGAGCCCCACCAAATGACTAGAAAAACGTGGGAAATCCCACCAAGCTAAGCATTCAGAGAGCAAAAAGGGGCACAAACAGAAGTCTCCATCTCCAAGGAGACGACAAACCCAAGAAACAGCAACAAGCATTACAGTGATCAAGGACTAACTCTTGGACTTTGAGACTATACTAGGAATACTCTTGTTCTGCAAACCTGGGGACACAAGAGTCAGGAATAAGAGCCTTTCCATGTGTCCTACAGATGTAATGCTACGCCATCAGCCTTCATTTTGGAAGCAAAATATGGTTTAACAACTTTAATGACTCGAGTCCTATTATAAAATTGTTAAGGATCTGAAGGCCTCAGTTAAAATTTTCAATTCAATTTTACTGTATTTTATAAAGCTAGCTATAACCGAGATCCATAAAACTTTCGAGAAATGCCACTTGCTAATGTTAAGGATCTAATGAACATTGTTCTTGTAAGTCTTCATTTCTAACTGAATATTATACATACTACATCCACACAGGATGAGCTATTTTGAAGCAACCTCCTTCACAGCAATGTAATTTTAAAGATACTTTTCTGACTGAGCCAATGTAAAAAGCATTTTTATATACTAAATGCCTAGAATATGAGTATTCTAGTATTCAGTTTCTCCTTCTCCTAAAACTACTTGTCCCACTATGGAAATTTATTTTCTGCAAATAAAATAATTTATATAGAAAGCTAATTTCAATTTTTCTACAGTAACTAGTGTTATTTTATTTACAATAAAGACCATAGTGCTGTGACTCAAATGTTTAAATGTTTGTTATCGGTTACTCTGATTTTGAACTGTAAGACTCTTCATTATCAATTAACACAAATTTAGCAATCTTTTCTTCTACAGCAGTGGTTCTCAACCTTCCTAATGCCACAACCCTTTAATACAGTTCCTCATGTTGTGGTGACCCCCAACCATAAAATTATTTTCGTTGCTACTTCATAACTGTAATCTTGCTACTGTTATGAATCGTAATGTAAATATCTGATATGCAGGATGTATTTTCATTGTTACAAATTGAACATAATTAAAGCACAGTGATTAATGACAAAAACAATATGTAATTATATATGTGTTTTCCGATGGTCTTAGGCGACCCCTGTGAAAGAGTCATTCGACCCCCAAAGGTGTCGCGACCCGCAGGTTGAGAACCGCTGTTCTACAGCATTACAATACTGATTTTATAAAGTGAAGAGGCATGCATTTAGAAAAATGTATAACTTGGATGCCAGCTGTAGTACTGTAAGGGTTACAAATAATAGTTACACACTTTTTTTAATGACTCACTTTCCTCAATAAATCAGAGAAGATTCAAGTTTATCCCAACAATGACGTCATTTTCAGTCACTTGTATCCTGGTATGCTTTCTTGAGCAGAAGAGAACAAAATGGAATTACAGAGCATGGCAGGGAACTGCACATTAGTGTACGTCACACATGTAAATATATTGTACAGGTGGGAAATAATATTGACAATCACTGACTTAGATGACAAAACCTTTGTTTTACTGCTGGATGAGGCAATAAGGACTATCAGGTTCAACTCCTAAGTCTTCACTCAGTTCAGTGCTTGCTTCACAACACCCAATAACTACAGGCTGGACTGAGCATTTAAATTGTATGTGCTTTTGAGAATTAAAACCCTACGCTCATAGAAAACACATTTTGACATAGGGATACTTATAAAATACTGCTACTTAAAAAATAATCATATATTAGCGAGAGGCAAAAGACACTCAACTAAGAGTTTTATGTAATTACATTTGAAAATACAGTTTTAAGTTTTAAACAGAGTAAGTAAATGTGGTTTAAACAGAGTAAGTAAATGTGGGGGGAACACTAGAGGTTTAAGAAAGTAATAGTTTTTCTGTACCCACTTTTAAGCAAATATTTGTAGTTTAAATGAAAGGAATTTTGGGAAACTATCTAACAATAGATGATACTCTAAGGTAAAAGAAAAATAATTCAGGAATTCAGACAAACTAGACATATTTTGAGGTAAACAGCATTTAAATTTCTGACTACCCTACTGGAATGGAATAATTGAAGAACTATAAAAGAACAGCTAATCAGAGATATTTCTAATTATTTGCTCTTCAGTACAAATGCAAATGTCATTTAATTTAAGTGAACATAATATAATTATTTTCATTTTCTAAGTCTGAATTTAGGGGCTTTTAGGATGCTAGAATAAATACAGTAATACTAGGAGAGACAAAATTAAAGTTATAATGTATGAAACCTACATAACATGGAACTTTCTAAATTCAGGCATTTTTCTATCATTTCTTCTTCATTAAATAACCTTGTGAGGCAATTTAATCATCCAGTTTTATTGATGAGAAAACTGGTTTAAAGAGATTAAATAACTTCCCCCAAATACCACAAAATAAATTCCTGATTTCTGATAAAAACCCAGATTATCTGGCTTCCAAAAAAATGAATCTTGCCCTGGCCAGTGTTTCTCAGTGGTTAGATCATCTGCCTGCGGAATGAAGGGTCACGGTTCAATTCCCTGTCAAGGGCATGTGCCTGGGTTGCAAGTTCAATCCCTGGCTCACCCCTGTGTCGATGTTTCTCTCCCTCTCCCTCCCTCTCCTTTCTCCCTCTCCTTCCTTTCTCTCTCTCTCTCTCTCTCTCTCTCTCTCTCTCTCCTGGCTCACCCCTGTGTCGATGTTTCTCTCCCTCTCCCTCCCTCTCCTTTCTCCCTCTCCTTCCTTTCTCTCTCTCTCTCTCTCTCTCTCTCTCTCTCTCTCTCTCTCTCTCTGTCTCTCTGTCTGTCTCTCTGTCTCTCTGTCTCTCCTTGCCTTCCTCCCTCCCTCCCTGCCTTCCACTCTCTCTGAAAGTCAATTGGGTGAGAATTAACAAAAAAATATAATGAATATTCTTTCACTGTATACACTGTACGCTGTCACCGAGCAAAAAACACCTACTTTAAAATTGTCTTTTAATTAAAATCTTCTAAAGGAGGAGACAATGTCAAGTTTATAGTAAGTGGTGATGATGTATAGACTAAAAATTAGTCATGCTTTAATAAGTGTATATGAATGTTTGGGGAAAAATTCTAAATCATGCGTGACAATTAAATTTTTAAAAGCTGAATATACAATATCCCAAAAGTGAAGAAATCTGAAAATTTCTATAGAAAGGCACTAAATAAACTTCATCTTACCTAGATATTTTAACTTTTTTTTACCCAATATTTTGAATTCCAAAGAAAAAACTCCAGAGGCCCCATGCTGTGTCAGCCATAAAATAATTTCATACAGGTAACTAGGATTATATTTATATTTATGAAATAAGGAGATCATTGCTTGGGTCAGATTCTTTTGCTCTAACTCCAATATGTCTTGCATTTATTCCTTTCCAGTTTCCTTCCAGATCTTGGAGCCTTCTTCTTATTTAGGATAACTGAGTCTCAAGTTCAGGAAGTCTTACAAGTTTAGATGCAAGTGCAGATATACTGCAATGAAAACTGTAAAATTGCAATGGTAGGTAGTATTACCAAAAAAAAAAGAAAGTTTCAGTTATTTTCCAACACATTAACTATGGTGGAATTATCAGTGACTTTCTTTTCTATAGTTTTACTAAGTTTATTTTAAAGCATTTAACTTTTATAACCCTATCTAATAAAAGTATAATATGCAAATTAACCATCACTCCATCACAAAGATGGCAGCACCCATAGCCACAAGAGGGTGGCACCCAGTCCCTTCAGCCCCGCCGGAGTCCCCCAGTCCTGGGGGGGCAACCGCTGAGAGCAGGCAGCATGAGCGGCCTGGCAGAATGCTTGCTTTGTTGCTGCAGCGACGAGGCAAGCATTCCGCCCTGGCCACGGAGGGCCTCTGGACAGCGTGCGCGGAGTGGTTGGGGCGGGAAGCTTGCGCCATCACCGCGGCAACGAGGCAAGGGTCCTGCCCCAGCCGTGGAGGGCCTCTGGGCTGCAGAGAGCCTCTGGGCAGCGGGTGTGGAGTGGCCAGGCCCTGCAGAGAGCAGAGAATCATGGGGAGTGGGCCTAAGCCATCAGGGCTCCCAGATTGGAGAGGACTCCCCTGAGGGCTCCCAGATTGGAGAGGGTGCAGGTCAGGCTGAGGGACCCACCCCCGTGCACAAATTTTGTGCACCGGGCCTCTAGTAAAAATTAAAAAGGAAGAAGAAACGAAAAAACAGAAGGCGGGGGGGGGGGGGGGGGACTTAGAGATTGATTAAAAAAAATCTAAGAATCTTATTCTTTCCAAAGTTCCAAAACTATGACCTGCGTATTCCCTTTAATCCCTCAGCAATATGGTAAAATAAACACACATAAATATGTCAAAGACAAGTGAGATATTTAAAAAATGTATTAATCCAAAGATCTATAAATTCTATAGCTCTTAATTGCAATAGTTGAGAAATTAGTTATAAAAATGATATAAGTATGAAAAATGATTCTGGGGTAAACTAAAACTAGTAAACAGGATTTAAATAGTTAAAGAGCCCTGGCCAGGTGGCTCAGCTGGTTGGAGCATAAAGTGCATCATAAATAGTTAAAGAGAGTCCATTACAAAAATACATTCTTATTCCAAAACCACATATTTAGATTGATCCAATTTATTAAGTATGTTACCAATGCACTGCATAATTCATAGCCCCTTGGACCTGTCTTCAAAAAAAGATGCTTATTTAAAAATCAAGTACAAAACTAGAATCTATTAACATGGGAGTCCAATTTTAGAACTAAACTTTTGTGTAACAAGTTCACTAGATATTCACTTTTTCTGATTACCAAAATGCAATTTACTCATCTGGGCCTTGATTTACAAAGATGATGACTTCTTAACTCACAAGCATACTTTATAACAATCTCATGGAATTGAACTGCTATAGGTTTTATAAACACTACTTCCATCTACAAATAGAAATAAGTACCTTACAATATTTTGGAGTGATACATAGTTATGCTGGTTTTCTAACTTGATCACTTCAGTTCCTCTGTTCCTTATATTTATTATGTAACAACTGTCTTAAAAATGTTATTGCTGTGTAGGTAGTTACTGAACAATTCAAGTTTTCTGCCACTGGAGGAAAGAAAATGGCAAGTTTGAAATGGTCACAGACCAGAGTTATAGTTACCTAACAGTTGAAGATGATCTGAAAGTGAATTTTCTACCAAAAGCCTAGACTGTTTCTTCCAAACTACTGACAACAAACTTTGAAGTAGGACAGAAGCTGCATTAACTGGACCCTAAATAACTGTACATGGTATATGTTTTATGCTGCCAACCATCCGTGTGGAGGAGAAACAGATCTTCAACAAAGGCCTTTCATGGAAGAAGATAGAGAAAACGTTTCCACATTCATGGAAGAAAAACGGAAAACGTGTCCGCATATGCCTATGTGCTCTCTTACTGCATTCCCAATACCTTTGGAAACAGTTCCCTTGGTTCAAGAATACTAGCAGAAAATTATTCCTGGATTACAAGATATACCCAGCCTTCCTTGGCATTAACTGGCAAACTTGTGGCTCTTCGTAAATGTCTCTCTTAATACCACATGGATGAACCAAGGCTACAACACTGAGGTAGTGAAATTATACTTTGCAATATTCTGTTGTTTTTAATCCTATTCCCATTCCATAGGTTGAAAAGCATTTTCTAGTCTTTAATCACTAAAATAGTTTTGGTCTATTCTTGTTGATTTTTACTTTATACTTTTATATACAGTGACTCCATTTGAGAACTTTATTATCTTAAAATACCTGGAGGAAAACGGTATACTACCCCCTTAGAGCCCTTGATGTCAGAGTGACAGTGAGACCACCACGATTATATGCAGCCTCTTACCAATTAAGAAGATGGAGCCTTCTTTTAAGCATAAGGCGAACGAATATCAAAGGCTACAAGCCTTAATACGTTTTTAGATTTGGGGTTGCACAGCACTGGATAACGTCACTAATGTGCAAAGTAAAAAGCGACAACTTCACAGTTAACTCCTTATCGTTTGTGCATGATGTACCCCAGCCAGGCGGTACCAATACCAACCCAAACGGTGTGTTTAAGAAAAGTTGGTACTAAGGGAAACGCCAATGGCAGGAAGCTGACCCAAAGGTGCCTCCCAACACTCTTCACCCCAAAATGGCAAGGAGAGTGCAAAACCTCCCCGGCTGCAGCGGCTTCACACTTAGTAAGAGTTCATCTCTTGGCTGGCTCTTTGGAGTCCCCTCGGGCCCAGAAAGGACCAGGGTCCCGACAGGACCTGGGATGCAAGGTGAGGGGTAAAGGTAGGCGGAGAGGGAGCTGACCTGCGGGAGAACAGCGGGGCTCGGACTGCAGCGGGGAGGGGCGGGGGATTGTCAAGGGCGATGCAGGGCCCCAGCGGTAGGAATTGGGGAGCACCTAGGGGTCCGGGTGGCCGCCACAGCTGGGGGGCCGCGCCAGGGGAGAAGCTACCCGAGAAAGGGGATGTGGGCGTGATGGGCGGTGCCGATCGTCCTCCCACCACCTCCCCACACCCCGCAGACCCCCGACCCGGCGACGGGGCGGGGCTGTGGCGCCCGCCTCAGCCTTTACGCGCCGGCACCCGCCCCCTCAAGCTCCGGTCCCCGGTGGGTGGGAGGGGCGGGCCTCGCGGGGCCGGGTGGGCAGCGCGGCCCCAAACCCGAAGCAGGAATGCTCCGCCGCGGGCGCCGGACGGGCGGGAGACCCCGCAGCTCGGGGCGGGAGGGTGGGGGTGGCTGAGGGCGTAGGAAGAGCATTCGGCGCAGCCGCCGCAGCCCGGACAGAGTCGCCGGCACCCTTCTGCGGACAGGAGTGTAGCCCCCGCTCTCCGCCGGCTTCCCTCCGCTTCCCCCCTCCCCCGGCGTTGCCCCGGGCAACAGCGCCCGCCGCCCGCCGCGCGAAACTCACTTACCTAGAACCTGACAAGCAGGAGCCCCTCAGACCCGGGAGCCAGTCACCACCCCGCGTCACGGGGCCGCCGCAGCCAATGGGCGCCGCTGTCACAAGTCTCTACGGCCAATCCAGCTGCGCTCCGGTCTCGGGGCACCTCGAGGCCTCAGCCAATGGGCACGAGCGGAAGGCGGCGCAGCCGGCCGGCCCCCAGCCCCCTCCTCCACCACCTCCCTGGAGGCGGGGCGCGGCCGATTGGCCCGGGCCCCGGAGGGTGGGACTCGGGCTCTCGGCCGGGCGGGCGTGTGCGGGGCCGGGCGGGCGTGTGCGGACCCGGGCGGCGGGCGCGGCCAGGGGGGGTGCGTGGGGCGCGGCCGCCGCCCTCGGGATCCGCTCCCCAGCCCGGGTGGGGTCCCGAAGTCCTGCTGTTTGCGCGGCTCCCTCGGGCCCTGCAGCCCGCTCCTCCAGCGGGTGCCCCGGGCTGGCGAGTGGGAGCGAGGGCGGGATGCGCCCGAGGCGGACGGCGGCGTCACAGGAAACTTTGGGAGACTCGCCGGGCCCTGCCGGGAAGTGGCCAGGCCGGGAGTGATAAGCTGGGGCCGCCTGCGAGGGACTACCCCGCCGATCGCCGCCGGAAAGGAATTCGGAGGGTGGGGGCGGAGGCGTGATTGAAATGCTCCAAGTGCCCGCGGGGCACTGGCGATCCCCGGGGCTGCTTTGGGATCGCGGACCCCGACCCCTAGCTGCGCACCCGTCACCTTCAGGATCGGTCCCTTTTTGCTGTACGTTTAGCTTCCATCAGTTGTAACTTTAGAGTGGTTTTCAGCTTCTTCAAAGGAGTCAATTCCTTGAAGGCAGGAACTGGGTCTTTCTCACCCCTGAACTCCCGCGCCTGGGACTCCTAAGAAAAGGCGACAGCCTCGATGCTAGAATTGGGATAGATGCTGTTCAAAAGCATCCTGTGGGTGGTCCTTACAGTGAAAGCTCTTACCTCTTTGAGAGACTAGAATGCGTGGACCCAAATTGGTTTGTTCTTCCAGTGAGACTGCAGCGTCCTTCCCCAAAAGAATTTAGTAGAAAATGAGTAACGTGAGCTAAGAAAGATAACTAGGTGCTCTGTTAACAGCATGATCGGTATTAGTCACTATTCAAGGGTGTGTTCCCGTAACCGACTTTTTAAGGCATTGTATCATGTACTTGGGTTGAACCACATTCTTTGCCTGGAGCGAATCTAACTTCAATCAACCTCACCTCCACACTACACCCCTTTAAAACATTTACGTGGGAGCCAAAGAAGAGGGGTGACTATTTTTTTCTAAACAGGGTTATTTATTTGACCATAGTGAAAGCCCTATCCATAGAAGAACATCAATTTTAAATCAGACTTTTCTCATCTACCGTTTCCAAGTCAAAGAACCCAAAACATGTAAAGACAAATTTTAAAATAAGAGACTTAATTTTCCCGTTGAAAATGGAGGAAGAGATTTCCCTTCTCAGATCATTTACTTTAGAAAACTTGTAATTGTTGAGTACTTTTTAGTCTCTTTGAAGTGAAAATAAATCTTTCTTTACATATATTTTTATTGATTTCAGAGGGGGAGAGAGAGAGAAACATCAATGATGAAAGAATCATTCATCAGCTGTCTGCTGCACACCCCCACTGGGGATCCATCCCATAACCCCTGGCATGTGCCCTGATCTGGAATCTAACCATGGCCTCCTGGTTCATAGGTAGACCCTCAACCACTAAACCACAAGATAAATCTTTTTGATGACTAAATAGGTCTATCAGCTAGTGCTTTGTCAGCTTTACTTCCCAGGACTGTCGTCCTCAAGGGCCTGAGAGCTATCTCTTTGAAATTCGTGCAAATATTGAGAGATAATGCCCATGAATAGATAAAGAAAGGTGGTATATAGACAATGGAATATTATTCAGTCTTCCATAAAGAAGGAAATCTTGCCAATTATGACAACATGAATGAACCTTGAGGTTATTATGCTAAGTGATACAAGTCAAAGAAGTACAAATACCATATGATCTCACTTATATGTGGATTTTTTAAAAATCCTCAATTGAGGATATGTCTTCATTGATTTAAAAGAGAGAGGAAGAGAGAGAAAGAAATATTGATGTGAGAGAGAAACATCGATTGGTTGCCTCTCCTACTTACCCCAACCAGGACTAAAACCACAACCTAGGTATATGCCTCGACCAGAAATTAAACCTACAACTTTTCAGTGTACAGGATGATGCTTCAACCAACTGAGAGCATCACCAGCCATGCCTATATGCGGATTTTCTTTTTTTAAACTTATAGATACAGAGAAGAGAATGATGGTTTCCTGGAGTAGGAGTTGAAATGAGTAAAGCGGGTCAAAAGATACTATTAAATTTTGTGGTATATGGCATGTCAATGTGAATGAAATGAATGTTTGTGTATTAAATGGTCAAATAAAGCCAAAAGGCAACTTTGGGGATTGCTTCACCAAGGCATGTCATTTCCAAGAACCTTAGGATTTCTCAGGATTACCTTTATACAAGGAACTCTAAATCTAAAAAGATGTACTTGATAAATTAGTTTTTACATAGTCCCAGGAAGTAGCTTTAAATAAAGGTCTGATGCCCTGGTCAGTGTGGCTCAGTTGGTTGAGAGTAATCCAGTGCACTGAAAGGTCACTGATTCCTGTTCTGTTCCTGGTCAGGGCACATACCCAGGTTGTGGATTCAATTACCAGTAGTGGTGTGTGTGTGTGTGTGTGTGTGTGTGTGTGTGTGTGTGTCTGGGGCAGGGGGGAGTGGGGGGGAGCAGCCGAATGATGTTTCTCTCCCTCTCCCTAAAAATCAATTTTAAAATATTTAAAATAAATATATGTCTGAAGGTAATAATAGAACTGTTTGATGTACATGGTGTATATGGTTTAAGGAACTCAAATCTCCGAAAACAGAATCCTTCCAGTTCTTCAACAATTCTCTCAGTTCTCACCTATTCATTCAAGAAATTTAAAAACTGTCTGGCATATGCCAAGCACTCAGTTTTGAATGAATGTACTTGAAGTAAATGAATGTGGCAAAAATCTATGCTGCATTTCTGAAACTGATAAAAAAAATTATAGCGAATCCAGTATAAAATTTTCCTTCTGTTATAATCACTTTGCATTGCAACATATTTAATAAGAACTTTCTTTCACCTGATTTAAAATATACTGTGCAATTTCCTTACATCTTGTAAATGTAGGGAGAATATGGAAGAATAAAGGAAAATAATTTTCTGTCTAGATGATCCATGGGCTTCATAAAATACTTGTTACCCCCACAGGGCATGGAAGGATATTAGTTCAGTTGAAGTTGTTAGCATAGGATTTAAGAGATTCATCTTCTATCATTAAAATTTAGATCTATACCAGGTACTATCATAGCTATTGAAATGCCACAGTACTGCCTAACTATAGACAAATACTAAGTCCTTAGTATATATTCCATTTTTCCAAATACCAATTTTTGTCTGTTCTAATAACATCACTTACCTGGACAAATGAATACAATAACATGGATATCAAACCTTAGGCAATTAGTAAAAAATGATTTTAAAAGTTCTTCCTTTACCCTATCTCTCCACCACTCCACCTCCCCATTTTCCTATTTAATCCTTTTTCATAATAGGCTTCAAGAGAAATCTTGGCTATGTGCCACTAATTCATACCATAGTTATCCCTCCTTTTTCTTTAATCTACATTTCTTCTCTTTTTTTCCTTTCTGCCAACTCCTTTGCTTTGTGACTTTCTGCTATCTCTAATTCACAATTCATACCTAACTCCTAAAATATAGATAATGATGAGGTATGCAATATGGAACTCATACCTATCCTTATTTATTTCTAGGGGCATTTTAAAGGAAAACAATTGAGTTTTTTTATTCTTACTTCAAACTCACAATCTGCTTTGAAATGTCATGATTGTCACTAAGAAGAAACTTAGTGAGTGATGCAAAATGAAGGTTCTAAAAAATTTAATTCATCAGAAAGTCATTAACCTAAAAGACTTTCTCCAAATAAGAGTGATGAAATTGTGTTCTGCATGTCCCTTCCCTCCCTCTCCTCCAGCTAAAATTATGAGTTCATTGTTTGAATAATTGACATTTGACATCGTGTAAGTTCATATATAATATAATTGACATAATTGGTATAGGACATTGTGTAAATGTAAGGTATACTATGTATTGACTCAATGCATTTATATATTGCAATATGATGACCATCTTAGTGTTGGCTAACAACTGTATCACATCACATAATTATCATTTCTTTTTTGTGATAGGGATAATCAATATCTTAGCAACTCTCAAGCTTATAATATAGTATTGTACATCTAATCACCACGCTGTGCATTAGCTCTCCAGGGCTTATTTATCTACTAGTGCCAAATTTGCACCCTTAAACAACATACCCCGAGTCTTCCCCCCACCCCATTTTCTGGTATCCACTATTCTACTCTCTGTTTTAAACAGTTTGGCATTTTAGATTTCACATCTAAGTGATATCCTACAGTATTTGTCTTTTTCTGTCTGACTTACCTCACTTAGCATAGTAACTTCAAGGACCAGCCATGTTGTCACAAATGCCAGGATTTTCTTATTTCTCATGTCTGAGTAATATTTGTGTGTGTGTACAATCTTCTTTATCCATTTATCCATTGAGAAGCACTTAGGTTGTTTCTGTACCTTGGCTGTTGTGACTAATCCTATATAATGAAGAGGTAATATGCAAATTAACCCTCTCACCATCACAAGACAGCTGCGCCCACAACAGAGGTGGGGTTCCTGTAACACAAGATGGCTGTACCCACAGTGGAGGCAGGGTTCCCATAATGAGCCATAATGAGCAATCAGCAGGGACCTGAGGCTGTGTGGCGCCAGGCTGGGGCGGGGGACCTGTGGCTGTGCCCCCCGTCTGGCCGGGCCTGACAGGGGACCTCAAGGAGTGGCCCCCACCCCAGTACCAGGCCAGGGTCAGGTCCCCTGGCACTGGGATGCGGGACCTGAGGGTGTGCCGGGGGACCTAAGGCTGCACCCCCTGCCTGGTGTGCGCCTGGGGACCTAAGGCTGTGCCCCTGCCTTGCGGGGCTTGACAGGGGACCTGAGGCTGTGCCCCTGCCTTGCGGGGCTTGACAGGGGTTCCTGAGGCTGCACTCCCCACCCGGCACCAGGCCATGGGACCTGAGGGTGCAACCCCCCGCCCAGCCAGGTCTAGGTCTCACACGATTTCAAGGCACATGC